GTTAACAAAAGATTCCAAAATATGTTGAAATTGGCTGGTGTTGAGCATAAATGTTCTGCACCTTACAGACCACAACATAACTCATTTATAGAACGAAGAGGGCAAACATTACAAGCCATGGCTCGCACTATGTTATCTGATTTAGGTTTACCTGAAACACTGGGGTGAAGCCATAATGTGTAGTAACCATGTTTTAAACAATGTAGTTAATACAACAACTGGATAATTGCCATTCACTCGTCATGGCAGAAAGCCAAATTTAAGTTATCTACACGCATGGGTGCATATTCCCTCACAAGTAAGACTGAAAGGGCAACATAGAGCTAAGAAGTTATTTTTTGTGGGTTATGAGGCCAACCATAGATCGTTTAGATTCTGGGATCAAGGCACAGCTCATGTTTATTGCAGTGCTAATGCAAAAAAATTTGAGCACGTTGGATGGGATAAACTGGAACAAGAATCCAGCAATGATATTATTATTGACACCCAAATAGTCCCTAAAGATGATATCAGTAAACAACAAATAGCCATTAAAGGGGAAGCACAGGAGGAAGTAGGAGAACAGGCACAGGAAGAAATTAGAAGAACAGAAGCAGGTGGCACAGGAAAGTCCACCAGTAAGCCCTGTATTACCAAGACGTTCAACCCGAGTAACACGACCACCTGATAGATATCAGGCTAGTGTTGTATGCCAAGTGAATACAGTTCCAAGTAATTATAGTGAACTAAAACTGTTATCCTGCTAAGGATCAGGCTGCTTGGCAGAAAGCAATGGATAAGGAACTGGAATCATTAAAAAGACTGGAGGTATATGAAAACGTTAAGTTACCACCAGGTAAACATGCTATAGGATGTAAATGGATATATAAATTGAAGACAGGTGTAGATGGGACTGTTACCCATAAAGCCAGGTTAGTAGCACAAGGGTTCAATCAGACAGCAAATGACTATGATGAGGTGTTTGCTCCTAGTCTGAAGGCTACTACATTAAGGGCAGCATTAGTGTGGGCAGCTAAGGAGAAATACATTGTAAATCATTTGGATGTAGAGACAGCATATCTGCATGCACCGTTGCAACACACTATATATTTAAAGAAACCTTTAGGTCTCAAAAATGATAATACTGATAAAACAACTGATTGCTGGAAATTGAAAAAGAGTCTTTATGGTTTGAAGCAATCAGGATATGAGTGGAACCAATGTATAGTTAAAGAATTAACTAAGATAGGTTTTGTAGCTGGCATGGCTGATCCATGTTTGTTTAAAAGAGAAAGTAATGGTGTAATTTCATTATTGTTATTATTTATTGATGACATAGCATTAATCACCAAAACTGAACAAGAAGCTACTGAGATAATTTCAATATTGCAAAAGAAATTTAAGACAAAACAGTTAGGAGAAATCAAACAATATCTTGGTTTAAAGATAGATAGAACTAGGGGAGGATAACAAAATCTCACAAGCAGATAAAATTAACCAATTACTAAAAAGTTTTAAAATGGAACTTTGTAAACCGGCTAAGACACCAATGAGCCAGGAGTTTAGCCATAGTGATGTTCAAAGTCCTATTTTTGATAAGAACATTTATCAGTCCTTGATTGGTAGTTTATCTTATCTCAGTAATTGGTCAAGGCCAGATATTGCATACAGTGTTAATCAATTAGCGAGATTTAACGCTGAGCCAATTGAAAGGCACTGGCAAGCTGCTAAACATGTGTTAAGATACCTGAAACAAACAATGCATTATGTGTTGTATTTGGAGCCAAAAGATGAACTGAATTTAACTGCATATGCTGATGCAAGTTTTGCTACAGACATAAATACACGAAAATCTACATCAGGTACTGCTGTATTATTGGGAAAAGCATTGATTGGATGGAGATCTATTAGACAGAAACATCTAAGTTTGTCAACAATGGAGGCTGAATTCTCATGTTTGTCTTTATTATGTACAGATTTAGTTTTGTATAAGCAATTATTAACTGATATGGGAATTGATGTAAAAGATCCTATTGTTTACGAAGATAACCAATCAGCAATACAGATGGCTTCAAATATTGCTTTTAAAACAAGAACGAAACACACAGATTTAAGATATTTAAATGTGAGACAATGTGTGCAAAGTAAGATGATTAAGCTAGAATACTGTATGTTAGAAAACAATATAGCAGATCATTTTACAAAAACCCAAGGCTCTATAAAGCATAAGGCTAGCTGTGAAGATTATGGACTTAGAATGTAAGGTTGTATATATTATCTTACCCAAAAGGGGAGAATGTTAGGAATATAAGTCACCTAACAGGTATTTGGGTTAGAAATATATAAACCAGAATAAACATTTTAGTACTATGTCTTTAAGACATTGCAAAAACTGCAATTAGGTGTGGTTTCTCAAACGGCCATAAGATGGAGCCAGAAACCTGGTTTGTTTAGTCTGAATCTCAGAAGAGAGTGTGAGTGTATCTCTGTTTCCTTCTGTTGGAAAGTATTGCCGTTGCTCCATTTCTTCCAATTGACGGATATTACTGGATTTAATGTAAGTCTGATACTGAACTGTTTTTTGACACCGGACTTTGATATTTGGATTATCCCTGGATTGAAAAACTGACTGATTTACCTGTGAATGACTTTTGGACTGCTTATCTTGAACTTTGCTTAAACTGTCTGGAAGTAAAAACCTACATTTACTGTACAGTGTATCTGTGTTCTGTGTGTGTATTATTCAAACACTACTCTCAAATACGTCTCCCTGTATGCGCTCATTCTCCTAACGGGGAATTACCTTAACACATCCCCATGGTCACGTGATTTACATTAGGGTTCACATTTATGACAGTTGCATTGTCCCAGGGTCATGTGATTCTCTTTTGTGACCTTCTGACAAACAAAGTCAATGGGGAAGCCATATTCACGTAACAACCATGTTCCTAATTTAACAATTGCAAGTGATTCATTTAACAAATGTGGCAAGAGAAGCTGTAAAATGGGGCAAAATTTACTTAACAAATTTCTCAGCACATAAATTCTGGGCTCAATTGTGATCGTAAGTTGAAGACTAACTATAGTATATAAGTCTTAAGTGCTATTGCAATATCCCCTGCCTGCTACTTGATGTTACCGGCATTTTTTGTTCTCTTGTTAAAAATAAATTGTATCTTCAGAGGGTAGGAAAGGGCAGGACAATGTTGATTTTGAGGGGGAAATCATCTGGAGTGGGAGCCAAACCTAAAACAACACTGAAGAGAACAGTGACAACAGCAGGCCTTCCCATCAAGGCCTATTGGTTGTGTAAACAACTTGAAAGCTTTCCTCTGACCATTACTGGCCTCCATCCGCAAACAGAGTCCATCTGAGAGCAAGAATGCCCATTTGGCTAGGTGATTATGAAAGAAAAAGCAAGCAACCTTACAGACACATCTTCCTGATCTTGTTACTGCAGATCCCACCAGTCCATAATCCAAACTTCCACTTTAAAAAAAAAAAAAAAAGTTGGTGCAAAGATATTGCTGAAATGAAATTGTTTAACACGACAGAAAATTAATTAGGTTTTCTTGGCTCTGTGAGTGAAATGAGCAGTTTCCAAATTTTATAATGTGTAGATAAGACATTCTTTTCCTGGTCACATCTACTGGACACCCCACCCCAAGCAGGGAGGCAGGGAATGTTGCAGGTCCCCTCTCCTAAGAAGGTCCGTCTGGTGGGACCCAGAATAAGAGCCTTCGTGGTGGCTCCCTCCCTCTGGATTGGAACATCCCTGTGGAGAGTAGATTGGCCCCTATTCTGACACAATTAAAATAGGGATAAGAATAGAACAGAATAGAACAAGCAATGGCAATGGCACTTATAAAGTGCTTCACAGGCCTCTCTAGGCAGTTTAAAGTCAGCACATTGCCCCCAACAATCTGGGTCCTCATTTTACTGACTTTGGAAGGATGGAAGGCTGAGCCAACCTAGAATAGGAATAGGAATAGGAAT